AGGGAAGGGGGGTGAGCTAGGTTCTGTAATTAATCTGAGAGACGAAAGGGGCGCTAGAGGGTAAGGATGGAGAGAAGTGGATCAGTTTGCTATGTGCTTTGCAGATAGAAGTATAGGACATGCTGAAAGGAAAAAGGAGAGCGTGAAAGGAGAAAATCAGTAGGTGGAAGTCTGGAGAAGCCCACTTTTACGGAGGAGGTAAGGTGTGGGGTTAGGATTAAGAGTTCTGTTTTTAGGCCTGGTGAGTTTAGACTCAATCTTGAGGTGAAACGATCACTAATAGCATCCTTTAATCAAACTTTAATGGGAAAAAGGATCAAGAGGAGACGGAGTGAAGTATCTTAGACGTAGCTAGTCTTCAAGAGCTGATTTTAGAGTGATCTGGCTATGACATCTGTCACCCCATTGATCGCCAGGGTTGATTCCGCTGCTCTGGCTGGCTAGGTTGGTGTCTGCTTCCTCCCTCATCCCTCCATGTGTGTCCCTGCTGAAGCTGCAGGCTCGGTTGAAGAGGACTGTCCTAAGGTCAAGGGTACCCAAGTAACTGCTCCCCTACTAGAACTCCAAACAAGTCTCAAGAGCTGAGTTTATAGCACAGCTCCTGTTCCACGCCTTTCCTGATGCAGCCATTTTGCTATCAGCCTGATTCCTTCAGACCTTCATTATATACTCATTTATTTAATGAACTGCCAAGCTCTTCCTGTGTGGCAAGCACTATGCTAAGCTCTGAAAATCGGTAAGACATAGCCTCTAAAATCTTGATAGTATTCTTCTTCTCAACTTCTCAACTCAAGTTCAAAAGATAAAATATTAAGTCCTAACAATGCTTTTAAAAATCAGTCTTAATCCTAGCAGTCTTTAGCATACCCAGCTATTTGTTAATTGCTATCTGTACTGACTTCATATTTTAAGACTTTGTCTGTAGTTAGCAGATCATCTCCTTAGCTGCTTTGTAGTACCCAACTGGCCGCAAAGCCTGTTCCACCAACCTTGCTTTCTGTGCTGCCTTTAGGGACCACGCTGAATTTCGAGGCCACCACTTCTCAGACCTTTTAGTCTCCAGACCCAGTTTGCACTTGAAGTTACTGAAGACCTTAAAGACCTTTTGTTGATGTGAGTTATAGATTTCTATAGTGAGTTGTTTTGAAATGAAAATTAAGATATTTTAACTATTGATTAAGATGATAATAAACCCATTGTGTTTACATACTAAAAACATGAAAAATAATTTCTGAAAACAAAATAGAAGAATGGCCTTTTACACTTGTGCAAATATCTCTGAAGTCTGATTAATAGGAAACTGCTTGAGCTTTAGAACTATTGTGATAAAGCTTGTCCCACAGACAGGAAAACTATTTGTGAAGGAGGCCTTATGGTGTAGTGGTTACCCATTGGGCTGCTAACCAAAAGGCCAGTAGTTCAAAACCACCAGGCGTTCCGCAGGAGAAAGGGCTTTCTACTCCTGTGAAGAGTTACTGTTTATTATGGAACTATTGAATTGTATGAGATGCATGTGAATTACATGCCCATAAAACTTTTGTTAAACAAAGGGCTACTACCGTCTTGGAAACTCAGGGGCCATTCTAGTTTGTCTTAACGGGATCACTAGGAGTCGGAATCAACTCAGTGGCAGTGCGTTTGGTTTGCCTATTTGTGAAAGAAGAGAGTGAAAAGGGTAAGTAATGTCTTGGTATGTAACTCCTGAATGAATGTTGAAGACCCTCCCCTCCAGGTTCCCTTGACTGCAGGATTAGCCTGGACTCTTCCGGGTTAGACCCAGTGCACAGTGGGTGATGTTGAGCTTGGTTTAAGAAACTAAGGTGGCTGCAGTGGCTCATCCAGGTCTTACGTCTAAAGGCAATTACTTTGTACATGTTGACTTTAAGTCTGGAGTGATGGCAATTTACATCTTAAGTATTTTGCCACGGTATATTGGATTTCTTGACAACACTGGATTCTTTAAGTCATAGTGTTTTGGCTGCTAAACTCTGTCAAAGCTCTGTGTGTCATTGCTGTGTGGCCCTGTAACTAGAGCTGCTGAAGGCAAATAGAGGCTCTTTGCTGGACAGCTGGTTCATTATGGTAGACTGGTTTTGAGAAATCTTACATGAAGTGTATATGCCCAGAGCCCTTAGAAGTACTGACTTCTTGGGGGAGTTGGGACCAGAGTTAATGATCTATCAGAGACACAGTTTTCTCAAAGCAGCTTTTGTTTTTCTTGTCCTTATACCTGCAACCAAGCATAGGAACAAAGAGTGCAAGTGACTGTCAGGGCAGTGGAGTCGCTTCCAGCTCATATCCCATGTCCAAGAGAGTGAAGCACTGTCCAGTCCTGCACCATCCTCCCAATTGGATGCTTAAGCTTCCCTTTTCCAGGAACCGGTTTCTCCCATTAATATGTCCAAAGTATAGGAGATGAAGCCTTGCCATTCCTGCTTCTAAGGAGCATTCTAGTTGGACTCATAGCTAATAAAAAATGTTTCTTTTTTAAATCATTTTATTTATTTATTTAATTTAAAAAATTTAAATCATTTTATTGAGGCCTCGTACAACTCTTATCACAATCCATACATCCATCCATTGTGTCAAGCACATTTGTACATATGTTGCCATCATCATTCACAAAATGTTTTCTTTCTACTTGACCCTTTCGTATCAGCTCATTTTTCCCTCTTCCTCTTCCACCTTCCCTCCCTCCCTCCCTCATGAACCCTTGATAATTTATCTTTTTTTTTTCATATCTTATACTGTCCAATGTCTCCCTTCACCCACTTTTCTGTTGTCCATCCCCCAGGAGGGGGAAATGTTTCTTTTCACACAAAAGTTCTTGGTAACTCCCTTCTTAGTCTTGCTACATTTGGTGACCTTATCAATTTGAGGCATCCTTCCTTCCTTTATTCACTCATTCAGTAACTATGTGTGGAATACCTCCTATCAGAGAGGCATCTTGCTTATCAATCCCTGGCAGTTCTCTGACTTAAAACTGTTGGCCAAGATTTGTTGAAATTTTCATGAGAATTGTAAGGTCATCCAGTTAGCCCAGGCAGACGCGCTAATAAATGCCGTTCTCCCACCTCTGCATCACCCCCTAGGAGCAGCCTGTGTGGTAAGGGTCGTCTCAGAGGAAGCTGGGGCGGCCGCCGAGTGCCTGTAACTCCGTGGATTTTCCGGCTGTCTTCATCTCTGCTCCTCAGATCATCGTTTGAGCTCCTGCCCTCGGTTTCTCTCTTGAGGCGTGTGAGAGGAAGGGCTTGATAGATTTTCCTTTTTATTAGAAACTAGGCTTGCCCACATTTCCAACGCTATTGGTTCGGGTCAGTGAAAATTCTCCCTTTACCCAGGGTTTCATAAGCTTTTTCTATAAAGGGCCAGATGATAACTAGGAAGGGGCTTCAAATAACTCATGGAAAACTGCTATTGCCTTTTCATTCCATGTTTCCATAAGCTTTTTGACGGCCCTTCCTATATTGGGTTTTGCAGGCCACATAGTCGGTGTCACAACTACCATTCGCAAGAAGTTGTAAA